GTTATCTAAATGTGTTCTGTTGTACATAGGGTTTTCAGAGGCCTGCTATTTCAGAAGTGGATGGCCAATCCTTCTTCCTAGTCTGTCTCAATGTGAATGTTCAGATTTAGAGAAGTATCAGACAGACCAGCAAGTTAAAGGTATATCCCTTATTGCGGAGTTAACTTTAGTGTCATTTTTGTCCCTGCCTTTCTCACACGCGTCTTTATCTTTACCCACTTATTTCCTGCTTCACCATCCAGCAGGATAACCATCCACTTCTATTCCCTCCTTTCACATCTATGCCCCTTTCACCAGCCCTCCATCTAATAACTTATATATGAAGCTTCCATGGCTTCTGTGATCTCAAGCACATCAGCTGATGGTAGTTCCTTATGTTGGGATCATTGTCTCTGAAGTTTAGACATAACGTTTCTCGATCAAACGTGATGCATCCTGTAGAACTGGTGTGTAGATAGGCTTTTCTTGGCCCAAGGGCCGGAACGATGGTCGCGGGCTTTTGGCATCTTCGATTACCTGGGAAGATGGGATGGGTCTGCGGGGTCTGAAGGCTGTCCTCTGAGGTGCCCAACTTCAGCTAGTCAGATGCCTAGCTCCTCCTATGAGCTTGCTGCCGGATCGGATGTTGCGGGCTTTTGGCGTCTTCGATTACCTGGGAAGATGGGATGGGTCTGCGGGTTCTGTGTGTTATATGCTGTTGAGTCGTTTGCAAAAACACAGCGACCCTGTGTACAACAGCCCTAAACCTTCTCTATCCTGTGTCAATCTCACTGTCTCAGACACACCAGCCCTAATTAGCCCAGTCACTGAATCAATCCACCTCATAGAGAGTCTTCCCCTCCTGTGCTGTCCATCCACCCTACCAAGCATGATATCTTTCTCTAAGAACTGGTTTCTACTTGCAACATTTCCAAAGTATGTCAGACAAAGCCTCAGAATACTTGCCTCCAAGAAGCAGACAAGAAGATTTAACCCTCTCCAGGATGAACCTATTCATTTTCTTAGCAGTCCATGGTACATTCAATACTGTTCTCCAGCACCACAGCTCAAATGCATCAATACTCCTTCTATTCTCCCTCATCACTCTCCAGCTTTCTGGTGCATAGCAAGTGATTTCAAAGATCATGGCCTGTATCAGGCTCACCTTAGTCTCTAGAGTGACACCATTGCTCTCCAGTACTTTGGAGAGGTCCCTAACAGCAG